AAGCCTTAGGCTGATACAGAAGAGTAATCAGATGAAAAACTGGCTGCTTGTTCTAAGCAATCAAAAAGTAAAGATTTTTTGTGAAGACAAGAGTATAAAGTTGAGTTGTTAGCAGATAGAGGCACTTTAGATGTAAAATTCTTATGAAGATTGTTTTTGCAGATAAGAAACATACAGGAGCAAAAATAGAACTTTGTTGTACCCTTAATGTTACTTGAAATAAAGAAGAATGTAGGCCTTCAAAAATTTGAGATTTTAATACTGCAGTGAGACTTTAATACTGCAGTTAGAAACAAATAACTTAATAATCGGAAAAATTTCATATAAAGAAACTAATAACAGAGTGAAGACTAATCATAGGATAGTTAGAGAGGTCAAAGTGTTTTCTAGAGTTTTGAAAAATTGGAACAACTTATTTAGCACAAAAATTGAAGAGAATTCTAGAGAACACTTTTTTATGACTACAATGGAAATATTGTCTGGAGAACAAACTTTATTATTGTTTAATTAAGAATTAACTTTAGCATTATAAGTCCAAGTGATTTTGATGTTTATTGGTACAATTTGTTTAACAGGCAGGTGTATGGCCATTAGATACAAGAGTTAAATTAGTGTAAGATTTCTTTGCAAAAAACTCTCCCTTATTCTGGGGAGAAGTAAAAAGATCAGACTTTAGCTTACTTTAGTTATTGACACTGTTGAAGACTTACCAAAAGTCATCTTTTGGTAAGTCTTCAAAATAACATCTGAGATAAGAAACAAGATTTAGTAAACTGTGAGTAATAGAGCTTAACATCAGACAGGACATTTTTACATTGGCTTCTTGGAATAATAAAAAGATATTTGTTTATAAAAGAGATGCTCTTATAAAAAAGATGAAAAAAATGATTACTGTTTAATAAAGCAACAGTTCAAGATGGTAAAAAATGTGGAGTAGAATGAGGCTTGACTTAATATTGAAGAGAAGGAATAAAAGCTTTCAAGCATTTACTCCAGAAGTAATAAAAGCTTGTAAGCTTCCAGAAGAAATTAAATAAATAATATGTATGCATAAAGCGCATGCATAATATGTATGCATAAAACGCATCTTAGAAGCTTTTATTCCAATAAAATATTCAAATAAAAGCTTCCAAGATGCGCTTTATGCATACATATTTAGAGTATAAACGTATATGTTTGCTATTTATTTAGATGCTGGCAAGCAATATTTATATAAACTTTACTATTTTTATGGTGTAGTATTTGCAGAAAAAGAAAATGATCAGATGCATGACTCTAACACGACAAGAAAAAAAGGAGCTATAGTCTTAGGCAGATTAAAAAAGGAGGTACAGTCTTAGATTAGAAAAAAATGTTTTATTAGACAACAAATGTTAGAGAAGAATAAAGTGATTTAGGTATAAGCATGTAGAGAGGTAGCAGCCTCATGAGAAAAAAGTAGTGGTAGAAAGAAAACTTGAAGAGAGTGCCTTATATATTGAATAAAGGGAATTTAGTTAAGGAAGAAAAATGCTGTAAATTGTTTATATTAGAGAAACAGCATAAAAGAAGGCTAAAGCCTGATGATGATGATGATAATGATAATAATGATGATGATGATGATGATGATGATGATGATGATGATGATGATGATGATGATGATGATGATGATGATGATCATCATCATGATGATCATGATGATCATGATCATGATGGTAATTATGATTATGATGATCATGATTATGATTATGATGATCATAATTATGATTATGTTGATCATGATGATGTTTATATATGCATATATATACAAAATATAAAATGAATTTCAAATAAAAAAAAGATACTTTTGAATGTATAATTATTTATGCAGCCCCAGTCACAAACCCCGCCCGGCTTTATTTTATCAAAAATGGCCCTGGCCTCAGTCAAAAATCAACCCGGGTCACCTGGTCACAAAAAATTTGCTGTACTATTTACAGTATACTTTTTTAGGTACATTATATTTTTTATACTTTATAGTTTAATTAAACTAAATGGAACGCATTTGAATTTGCATTTGAATATGCAAGCATTCATTTGGATTATTTGGATAGAATTCAATATTATATAATGGCTGTGAAAATAACAAATAAATAGGTACGATGTGTTAAATCAATTCTATTATGTGTTCTAATAATCATGATTAATACTTTTTGATTTGAAAAATTAAAAAAAATAAAATACCATAAGGTGTTTGTGTCCCTTATTTAAATTTAAAGTTTTTTATTTATTTATTATAATTTTTCTAGTTATTTGATTTTAGAAGTTGTGGTCAAGGGTTGAATTAAGCTATTGCGATTTGCAAACTCTGAAAAAAATATCTGGTCTTTAAAATTTTTGTTTATGCAAAGCTGTGTACTTTGTCTTCAAGGAGCAAATTTTTATAAGTTTGTTAGCGAGAAAGTTATAAAAAACAAAACAATAAACTTACGATTACAAAAGTAAGTCGAGTCACTAACTGCATTATAAAAGTAATAAAACTATAATAGTGTTATTACTTTTATAAAGCACTTATTACTTTTAAAGATCATTCTTTGACAAACAACATTAGTAATTTCAAACTTTAATCAAAAAAGCATTTAGAAAAAACGTAGTGGGAATTCAATTATTATCAAAAACTTCAGGAATTTCTAAAAATACGCTTAAGGTTTTGTGGTTTATTCTCCGCCAGCTAATTGCCTAGTGGAGAACTTAACGACTTTATAAAATCGTACTTTGTAAATAGTTTAGCATTAAGAAAAACGTTATTTAATTAAAAACGTTTAAACGGACCATTAGTAACGTTTTTCATAATGTAAACGTTTTTATAAATGTTCCGGTGGAAAATCGGCTAGCTATAATCGTAGCGAGTAAGACAGCGATATGGCCACAAGGATCACTAGCTTTTTTAAGTTAGCGAAAAGCTATCGATATTTTAAAAGATAAAGACAGCGATTTGGCTGAGAGGACAGTTAGAATAATAAGCTAAAAATATACTGGCTAAAGTCAAATAGTAATAAAATCGCTGTCTACAAAATTTTTATATGTAGCGACCAACCGGCTATAGATTTGTAGATATTTTGTAACTAGTTACAAAGCTACGATATGTAGCTAGTGACACATTGCTACAATATCGCAATGTTTAGATTTTAATTATTCTCATAATTATAACAGACTCAACACTAAAAATCAAATTTTTAAAAATGTTAAAGACATTAGAAAAAAATAAAATAAGAAAACAAAAATCGATTAACTCGCTAGCTATAAAGCTAGCGAGTTGCTCGCAAGTCGCTAGCTTATTTCCCACCGGGCTGTTTAAGTTCCTTAATAAGTTTTAATTGTTATTTGAATATCCACTCCATTTTTCTAAATGCTTTTCTACTTCAATTAAAATTTAGGATTACTTATGTTGTTTGAACAAAGAATGAATTATAAAAATTAAAAGTGCGTTATAAAGGTAATAACACTCTTATAGTTTTATTACTTTTATAATGCAGTTGTTTACTAGAGTCTTATTACTTTTTTTACTCAAGACCAGATATTTTTCAGAACTTTTTATTTCGCGATCGCTTAATTCAACCCTTAATGCTATTTATTTGAAAAGAAATTATAAATTTAATGCATTAAATTAGTTATGTAAAAAAAAAATTTAATTTTACAGAACAATTTCGAAATAGTTGTCTTATGTTTTTTTCATTTAAGATTGACATATTTACATCTTTAGTTGCTTTTCTTTGATTTTGCATATAACTTATTTTATTTGCCTTTTCTTATCTACATTACTTATTATTGTACCAAGTTACATAATAAAAAGTTTATTAAATTAAAATTATTTTAAGTAAAAACAATTTGTAAAAAAAGTTTATACTTTTAGACTAAACACCAAATATCTATTATTTTTGCAACTGTAAACAACAAATAACTTTTAATAGCTCTTTTTTTTATTTATTCTGCTTTTTTACTTAAGTTAAAGATATATATTATTTTTTACTTAAGTTAAAGATATAAAAAAAACAATTTTAATAATAACCAAATTAACAAATTACCTTGATTAAAAAAACTGTTGGGAATGTTGGCAAGCGGAAAATCTATACTTCTGAAAAAACCATCCAGTTGATAGGTACAATTACGTCCAACAAAAGAACAGGCCACAATACGATTAAGAAAACCATCTACAGAAACATAAGTTAATAAAATGTCTAACTTCCTTTTTATAAACGTTAAAACATATGAATATATATATATATATATATATATATATATATATATATATATATATATACATATATATATATATACATATATATATATATATATATATATATATATATATATATATATATATATATATATATATATATATACATATATATATATATATATATACATATATAGATATATATATATATATATATATATATATATATATATATATATATATATATATATATATATATATATATATATATATATATATATATATATATATATATATATATATATATATATATATATATATATATATACATATATATATATATATATATACATATATATATATATATATATATATATATATATATATATATATATATATTATATATATATATATATATATATATATATATATATATATATATATATATATATGGTTGTTTGATTTAAACTATACCCAGCGGGCACAGACGTGAATCAAACGTCTTACGGACGTCTTAACTAGGTCGCGACGTCTCAGACCAAATTAGGACGTCCTAAAGACGTCTGGTAAAGACGTCTTTGTTAGGACGTCCTTGTGACGTTAATATAAAGACGATATCAGGACTTGAATATTTAGACGTCCTATTGACGTCGCTAAGACCTACATAAGACGTCCTAATTACCTTAAAAATAAGTAAAAAAATTAATACTAAAGGTTATGAGGCTGCTACCTCTCTACATGCTTATACCTAAATCACTAATGCGCATACAATATTATGCGCAAACTCGGTTATATAAATATGCCTACTTGTTTTGGTTGATTATTTTAAGACTATTATTTTGTTTAGTTATTTATCGTTTAAAGATATTTTTTAATTTTCTATATTCTATACTCTATGATCTATAAACTATAATCGATACAATATTTAAAAAAAAGAGTAACTAAGTTACAAGTATAATAAGGGAATTTTAACAAAAGACATCAAAATTGCACCAAGACTTTTCACTTTGTGTTTTATAGAATAGTATTGATATTTTTGTGTGTCTGTGTATATATATAAATTAATATATACATAAATTAATTTATATATATATATATATATATATATATATATATATATATATATATATATATATATATATATATATATATATATATATATATATATATATATGCAAAGATTTGTAATATCTTGGCTGTAGAAATAGGTAAATGGATAAATAAATTGTATATATTTTGTTGTTCCTGTGTAGTTTCATTCCATTTTATGATTTTTTCATCATGGGTTGTATAAATAATTATTAAGATTATTACGTATGTTGACACCTTGTTACTGTGTTGTTTCATTTAATTTGATGTATAATTATTTATATATACATGATTTATACATTATATTATAATGTTTATATGATGCATACATATTCATTATATACATATATATATATATATATATATATATATATATATATATATATATATATATATATATATATATATATATATATATATATATATATATGCTAAGATTTGTAATATCTATATATAATATATGTATATATATCTATATTATAATATATGTATATATACATATATATATATATATATATATATATATATATATATATATATATATATATATGCTAAGATTTGTAATATCTTTGCTGTAGAAATAGGTAAATGAATAAATAAATTGTATATATTTTGTTGTTCCTGTGTTGTTTCGTTCAATTTTATGATCTTTCCATCTCTGGTTGTATAAATAATTATTAAGATTATTACTTATGTTGACACCTAGTTACTGTTTGGTTTCATTTAATTTGATGTATTATTATTTATATATACATGATTTATACATTATCTTATGTTTATATGATGCATACATATTCATTATATATATACATATATATATATATATATATATATATATATATATATATATATATATATATATATATATATATATATATATATATATATATATATATATATATATATATATATATGTATATATATATATATATATGTATATATATATATATATATATATATATTTATATATATATATATATATATATATATATATATATATATATATATATATATACATATATATTCTTATAAGGTTAAGCATGAAACTTGAGATTTTTTGCATTATTTAGTTTAAATCTACCTCTTCTCAACCATATATAGGAATTACTATTTACTACTTTATATACTATTTATATGGCTTTACTTATATATTTTATTTTTCAAAGTTTCAGAAAAAATTTATATTCTAACTTGCTGAAATGAAAAAAAATTTTAGTAGATAGAACTGCACTGTTCTCTAATAATCCAGAAGAAGGTTTTAAACAACGTAAAAGTTCAGATAAACTTAATGTTTTGAAAAAAATTTGCAAATGGAGATATCCAATACATCACTTTTGTATATATGAGTTTCATCTTTAAAGTTTGTATGATATATATTAATACAATATTTATTTTAAATTGTCATAAACATTTTCAATGTTTCTTATACATTGTTTCTTTTTAGATAAAACAGTTATCATTAATTGGCGATAAAAATCTAGCTGATACAATTAAAAATATTTTGCTCTTGTAAATAATTAGCAAAAGTTTGAGTTTTAACATTTATGATTGACAGTAGAGCATTTATCTTCTTTTTTATATATGTAGACTGCCAACAGACACTATTTTGTCAGAATACAGCATGAATTGTCTAAAGAAGAAAAAAAGTTTTAAGAGTTGACAAGTCTATGTAACGCTGTCACTGGTATTCTTATTAGCTTATTGTGTTTGATTAATTAAAAATTAAAAATGATGTTTTAAAAAAAAAAAAATTTTTAGGCTCTGGAACATGACATGTATTCAAGTGTATGTATAACATATATATTTTATTTTATGATTTTATTGAAACATGTTTTGTTGTTTTTATTAGAAGCTGCTTTAAAGTCAAATAAAAACTTAACCAAAATGGATGCTATCCAACTTATTGGGAGAGTAGTTAGGCATTCTTCTGACCGAATAAAGAGAACATCGACTAATATGGATTTCGATCAATGTTGGCTTGATTAACTGTTGTATTTTTTTTCCATTTTTAAGCAATTTTCTTCTATTTATAATGCACTATCAATTATATTCTACAGTACCTATTAGTTTTTAATTTGAAAAATTTAACTTTTTTGTTTGAAAAATTATTCTTAATTTTTATAAAGTTATTAATTTATTTTAAATATATCAAATTACACTTTATTTACATTGATTTCCTTTTATAACTTCCCTTGCCTAGATTAAGGCAAATCTAAGGTGTTGTAAATCATTGCATTTTATATAACTTTTAAAAGAATGTCTTGGTAAAATTCAAACGTCTCTAGGACGTCTGAAAAAGACGTCCTTAAGTCTTTCATATAAGACCAGCCAGAGACGTCTCTAGAACGTCTGCAAAAAACGTCTCTAGGACGTCTTTAAAAAACGTCTTTTGGACGTCCGGAATGGACGTCCTCAAGCCTTTCATTTGAGACCAACTAAGGATGTCTTACGGACGAGACTTAAGACGTCTTACGGACGTTCTTAGGACGTCAAAATGCCCGCTGGGTAATAGTTAAACTCGTAAAATGCCTAGCAACCATAAACGCAGCATTTATGGTTGCTCCTCAAATTACAATTCAAAAGTAAAAGATAATGTTTATGTCACAATGTATAGATTCCCCTTTAAATCCAAGGATCGCGAGTTATGGATTAAAAAACTTCCAAATGCAAACTTTGTGTTTACAGATTATAAGCGAATTTGTGCTCAGCACTGGCCTCAAGATGCAGAATTAAAAAAAGTCAAGGGTGGTAGTTTTGTTCCAGTGCATCCTCCATCAGTCTTTAAAGGTATACCAGTGTCTTGTATTCCAATAGTGTCTAGAAAACAAGATGTCACTGGGTTAACATGCTCTTAAAGAAATATACCTGATAAGTTCGAAAACTTCAAAAAAATGGACGTTATTCAATTTAATTCAATTGTAAAAAATTTGAAGTCAATAATAAATAACTGTGAAGAAAAATTTTATTTTGTTGAAAAAGAAAAAAATATATCTTTAACATCATATGAACATTGTGGACCAGTACCTAAGTTTTCAATACATATAACTTTAGAAGATTCTGGAGATATTTATTTTACTGGATATAGCCAACTTTTACAAATTAAACTGTCTTTTTTAAACAAAGGAATTATTAAATATTATTCTCAACTGGAGAATGCTGTTAGTTATGTTATAAATAATGAAACAGATTCTAAGCAAGCAAGTTATATTAGGCATCAAGTAGCTTTATTAAATAAAACAAACAGTACACCATTTTCTTTAGAAGACATTTCTGATGCATTGCATCTTTATTCAAAATCTCGTTCAGTATATTTTGATCTCGTTGAGAAGCTTGTTTTGCCAAGTGTACGAGAGTTACAACGAATGACAATTAAAATAAATAAATTTAAAGATACTGAATATTTAAAGATGATATTTAAAGAACTTCAGGAATTTCAAAAATACTGCTTTATCTTGGCTGATGAGGTGTACATAAAACCTGGGCTACAGTACTCTGGTGGTCTCTGGTGGTAAGTTATTTTTAACTAATCAACTGGAAAGCCAAGATTTTTGTTTTTAGTTTTTTTTTAAACTTAAATAATTGTAGAACTCTTAATTAGTTAAAATAAATCATTGAAAAAAATTATTTTTTAAGGTGTTAATTTTGTTTATTGATTATGGGTATTGTGTATGGTGAAGCAGAAAATATCCAAGAAAAAGCAAAAACAGTTTTAGCACTAATGCTTCTTTGTCTTTTTGGTGGCCCACGACTTGTTATAAAAGTTTCTCCAGTTTGTAAAGTTACAACAAATTTTCAAACAAGCGTGATAGAAGAATTAAATCAACAAATCATAATTGCAGGTGGAAAACCTCTTGGGTTAATAATGGATAACTGTCGAGTAAACCAAAAAACATCTCAATATTTTAATGCAAAAAAAGTTCCAGCATACTATCTTTTAAATGACACTGTGCATATTTTAAAATGTATTCGAAATAATTGGATCACTGAAAAATTACAATGTTTAAAATATAGATTGCTAAATGATAACGATACTGTGCGACTTGCAGAATAAAAATTTATAATTCAACTTCATGCTGCAGATAGTCGAATAGTTAAGTTGTCACCCTTAACACAAAAAGCTGTGTCACCAAAACCAATTGAACGACAAAATGTTGGATTAGTTCTTAAAGTTTTTTGTGATGAAACAGTTGCAGCATTACGCGTAAAATTTCCTGAAGGTGAAGATACTGCACTTTTTATTGAAACAGTTGTTAAGTGGTGGCTAATTGTCAACAGTAAAGCAAAAGGTCTAGATATTAGATTAAATGATATTCGAAGAAAGCCTATTACTTCAGTCAATGATTGGCAAATAGATTTCTTAGAGAACTATATTTCGTATTTTGCTGAAAATTTAAAATGCGTAAATTCAAAATTAAGAGAGAAAAAGTTAACAATGGATACTGCAAGTGCTTTGCAAAAAAACTTCTAAAAGATTAACAAGCTGTGCCAAATATTTGTTGAATTGCGGTGTATCTTATGTATTGTTAGGACATATGCAATCAGATGCACTAGAAAAACAGTTTGGGAAATATCGGCAAGGGTCAGGTGGCACACATCTGATAACTGTGCAAAATGTTATTCAAAAATTTAGAGTCGACAAAACTAGAAAGTTGCTAGACAAGCATACAGATTTTACAATATTTCCTCCTGCTCACCACCACTGTGATAAGTGTGAACTTGATGTGGAGTTTATTATGTCAATATGTGAAAATTGTGAGGATTAGTTGCCAAATGAATGCAAACAAGGACTTTTATATATTGCAGGTTTTATTGCTTACAAACTTCCAGAATTACATTCAATTTTGGAAGAAACAGACACCTTTGATATGTTTCAAAAATATGGAACTTTGATCAGTTCTTTGAACAGGGGAAAGACTAAGAAAACCTTCTGACAATTTAGTCTACTTTGTTTTTTATTGTTTTTTTATATTTGAAGTGACACTTGTGAATAAAGTTTCACCATTGCTGTGCAAGAAAGGATTAATTGACATTTTTATTAACTGCAATAGTAAACTTCATTTTGGCAGACATTTTTTTAAACAATTATTGTAAAAAACACTCTGAAGATTTTGGGAAGGAATGTTTAATAAAACAAGCAAAACTTTCAACTTAAATAAAATACTTTGAGTTAAAAAAGTCAAAATAATTTTAATAAAATAAAATTAATATATTTGTTTGTTTTTATCAAAAAATTTATTATTTGTATTACAAGTGTTAAACAGCTAAAATAAATATATAGTTATAAAAACGAGATTTAGTCATTTTTAGCTAAACTCCTTAAATTTTTATTGTAATTAACTTATTTCTAAACGTAAAAAAAATTCCTACAATATTTGCTTTCGAAATTCAATCAAAATGTTTTGTCCTACTAAAGCTCTTTATTTGTTTCTGAAGTTTGTTTACAAAAGCAAAGATAAAAAATAATTTTAACCGTAAAAAAGTCGGCCTTCGCTAATTTTACGGAAAATGAGCTGTCGCGGCCTGTTTAAGAAGGCCTTGATATATATATATATATATATATATATATATATATATATATATATATATATATATATATATATATATATATATATATATATATATATAAATTAGTGTAATCTACAAATGGAGTGCTCAATGTTCTTAAAGAACAGAGCAATAGTAAATTAGTAAAAACACTTATCTAAAGAACTTAACTTAATAAGTTAATTTCTTTTTCATAATTACAAATTTCCAAACCTATATCCGACATGATAAAAATTACGTCATGCAATGATGCAATTAACCCTCCGTTGGGCGCGCTTGATCAAATTGATTCAAGTTAATTATCTCGTATAAGTTTTAGAGTTATGACTTGTGTTCTTCTTTTTAGTAGCTTTATTTTTTTGTTATGCTTCATCAAACGAGATTAAATCAATTTGTTTTGAACTGTTTCTTATCATTTTGTAAAAATTGATATACTGCGCCTTTGTTGATAATGGTTCAAGTAAGAGGCGGCGGAGAAAAGAATTGGCCTAAGAAGCATGCACCAACTCAAAGAAAATATATTCGTTTTTAAAAAAATCACAAAATACAGTTTGAACCAGCAAACTAATCTCAAAGTGTGAGTGACAGTGGTAACATTGAAAAAGTTGTTCCAATTGCAGAAAACCCAATTTTGAAACAACAACCAGAACGAAATTTAAATATTGTAAACCAGGAACAGGTTGAACCCAAAATCTAATTACAAAAAGATGCAAGTGAAAATAAAATTCTACATATAGAACCAGTGACAACAGATCAGACTCACCAAGGTAACCCGGTCAATTTTATTGACATTGGGATTATCAACATAAACAATTCTAGTCAAGTGAACTCTTTTCTTAAGATTACTTGCTTTGAAATTCCGAATAATGTTGTTCAAGACTCTAATCGTTGTGCATTTCCTTATTGTTTATTAAACAAAACGCTTGCAGATGGAGAAACATGCATAAGAGACTGGTTGCACTAGAGTATTGAAAAACAATCTTTGTTTTGTGGATATATATATATATATATATATATATATATATATATATATATATATATATATATATATATATATAATATATATATATATATATATATATATATATATATATATACACACATACACACATACACACAAATACATATATATACAATACAAAGATAAGTAATGATATAAAGTGTGATGCCACTTTTTAAGAAAAAGAGAAGTTAAAGAAATAAATAATAAGAATACATACACGATAAACTAATTGTAGAATTAGAGGTGCTAAAAACATTCCCACTAAGTTATAATAGAATCTTTTGTTTATTAATGTAGAAGGATACATGATTAAACTTTAAAATATCATCGATAAACGAGGTACGAGTCAGACGAACAAAAACAAGATTTTTTACTTTAAAACTTTATAGAAAAGAACAATTTTTTTGATTTTAAAAAGAACTTGTTGTTTCAAAAAATATTTTGCTGTAAAAATTTCAGCATTTCAAATAACTTAGTTACAATTTTACTAGGAACTATGTTGTAATGACTTCTTCTTTATAGCAGGGTACCATTTATCTGAAGCATTTACCTTTACTGCAATCTGAATTGAGTAAAATTGAAACTTAATATAAAAAAGAAGAATTTTTGCTTTCTTTTATTCTTTACTAAATTGTTTATTAGTAATCTTTTTTATGTATTTTTCGTTGAGGCGACGAGTCGCATTACGATATACATCGTTTAGGGTTTTTTTCACTTGAGTCAACATAAATTAAATTAGGTAACATTTGAACTAAATTTGATTTCCAACAAATAGCAACTCAATAGCAGCTAAAACAGCCTCGAATTCATTCGAAGTCAAAGTCTGCGCCATAAAATATCATTTGATGCTCTCTCAGTCCGGTCGTCCCATAAAGTTCAAGTTATTTTACGAAACCCATAGACAACGGCCCGCATTTCCAGACCATTTAAAAGCTATGATGATTATCATTTAATGACTATGACTTATATGCGTTAATTTTTCTAATTTACTTTTTGTTTTAAATTAGCCTGAAATACATCAAAACAGTTTTTTTTTTTGTTGTTTGTTTCAGTCGGAAAAAATTGCCGACTGAAACAAACAACAACAAAAAAAGAACATGGCACTAGGCGAAAATAGAAATAAGACTTAAAGTTTTTTTACCTAACGCGACTATCAGATGTTACAAGATGATTAGATATGTTTTTTACCCACTAGAATAAAAAATACTATTTATAAACGAAAGCAGGGCCAACAACACTTTATTATTACTGTTATCATTAGTTTATTTTTATTTTAGAAGCATTTTTTATTATTATTCATAATGATGGTGATATTGATTCTATCTTAGTATTAGTTTTATGGTTATTGTCTTAACTTTTGCAAATTTTATGTTTATTTTAATAATTTCTGTCAAAGTTATAAATTTTACTATAATTTTTTTAGCGTTGTTTTTACCATTACTTATAATTTTTAGTAAAGTTATTTTAGCTACTATTGGTAATAATTTTTTATTCATTTCATTTTTATTTTTATTATATTATGATTATTGCAGTTATTAATATTATCTTTATTTGTTAGTACTTTATTTTTCTTTCTTTCCTTTTTTTTTTTTTATTTTATTTTAAATTCTTCTATGTTTTATTTATTTATAAACAAAAATACAATGCAATGCAATAACACTATATTTCGTGTTACAGGTGTTACAAAAACACAGGTCATTTCAAATAGTGATTCACTAATAAAGCGCAATGACCTAAATAAGATAAAAAATAATAATAACAATAATAGTAATAATAATAATAACAACAATAATAATAATAATAATACTAATAATATCTTATAAGTAAAACCACATAAAAAAAAGAGATTAAAAAAAGAAAGTTAAATTAAATAAGTTAACATAAAATTAACTAATAAAAGTAAAATTGCATAAAATTTTATTTAATTATACCAAGAAATCTGACTTTTTGAATAAATATAACATAATTAATATATTGTACATTTATATATGCACATGTACTTTAAAAAAAATTATAATAAAATAAGTAAATTATAATAAAAATAATTATTTAAAATAGAATATTAGAAATAAAATTAAAATAAAATAATAAACTATAATGAAAATAAAAAAATAAGTCAAAAGGTAGAAAGTAAAAAGGTAAAAAGTAAAGTTAAGCGTAACCTTTTAGGTAGAACGTAAGATATAGGATGTCAGTAGAAAAATTTCTTGGACAAAAATGCATAATCCGTACCGCTGCTCTATTCTAATTTTAATAACTTAAATTTTGACGCTACTAAATTAAAGTTATTTAAAAAAAAAAAAAAAATTCAAAATATATATTTAGTTAAGCCAAGGTTGCATACTTCTCCTTTAATCGGTTAATCGTATTTAATCGGTTGCGCTTTATCAATAATTGTCTACGTTATAATAAGTATTGTTTAAACTTGTTTTTTAATTCTGTTAAATTTGGATGATTGGGTAAAGTTTTTTTTACTCTCTTATTGAAATTTTTTTGTTTTCATTAACGATCTATGAAAGTATTCATTGTTGGCCCAATATAATTGAATCCGCTATCTTGTAGTAAAGTTTTTAAGTTCCACGTTTTTTTTTTTAAATAATTTGCTTATTATCTTAAAAAGAATAAAAAAAAATTTTAAATGCCAAAAATATACTTTGCAATTACATCGCAAATCGCATTTGTTTAACGGCTAAATTTTTTTTACGGCTAAAAAAAAAAAAACGGTGAAAAGATGAAAAATAAATAAAAGAGCAAAAGAAAAACAAAGAAAAATTGTTTAAAATAAAATAATTTAAAAAATTAAAAAAATAAATTAAAAGCAATGAAAATATTAAAGAATAAAAATTGATGACAATTACTAAATAAACAGAAGAACAAAACGCAGAGCTAAACGAGTAAAATAAAGAGCTAAACGAGTTAAAATATTCGTGATAAATTCGAAAAAAAAAAATTTTAATAAGTTATTAAAAGAAAATAAAAGTAATAATTTTTAAGTTTTATAAATTTATGTTGTTTGGATTGTTTATACTGTCGTTTATTTTTGTGTATTGTTTATAATGTTGTGTGTTTTTGTGTACTTTTTATATTGTCGTGTATGCATGGTTTATACTGTTTTATATTGTCGTCTATGCTTTGTTTATACTGTTGTGTAATTTTGTGCATCGTTTATATTGAAGTGTACATTTGGGTATTGTTTATCTTGATGCGAATTTTTATTTTTTTTGGTTTTATTCCTAATGATAATCGCGTTAGGTAAAAAAACTCCGAGTCTTTTTCTATTTTCTCCTAGTGCCATGTTCTTTTTTTGTTGTTGTTTGTTTCAGTCGGCAATTTTTGCCAACTGAAACAAACATTAACAAAAAAAAACTGTTTTGATGTATTTCAGGCTAATTTAAAACAAAAAGTAAATTAGAAAAATTAACGCATATAAGTCATAGTCATTAAATGATAATCATTTAATTCAGTTTGATTATCGTAGTGTAAAAACAGTTGCTTAAAAAGGAGTTAACCTAATTAATTAACCCAACTGGGTCCCAGCTGGGATTGAGCTGGGATTACTGGGATTGGATTTGGGCTGGGATTTGTTCTGTGTGCCAGATCGGTCCCACATGGTGTAAAAATAATGCCGCAAATAATTTCTGGGTTTTTACTGGGATTGACATGGGGTTTCAGTCAATGGTTTCCGGCTGATTGGAAGATGGGATGCGTGGTTTAATGGTAGCTTGTACTTTCTAATCAAAGCAGTTTTTTTGGCATCGTTTTTAATAAAAGTTTTGTTGAAATAAAATTAAAAAGCTCTTTTAAAATGTCATATGCAGTAACGCGGCTTGATTTAGATTGAATATACTCTTGGATTTAAAGTAAATATACACAGGAACTTGGATTGGTTTTTTTATTGTATTATTGTAAAAACTTTTTACATAATATGTAAAGTTCTTTAAATATGTGTGAG